AAAAAATGATTACTAAAGATTAGAAAAAAACAAGTTCTGATACAAGTATTTTGATTTTAATGGGAAATGATAAGAGAAACCACATAAGTAGGGTGATCCAAATTCGAAGAATACTTGTTATTATTGTATTCACTTGCATATATTTTCTTGTCACATTGTCACATTAACAATGAAAACATTTTTTGTTGATTAAAATAAAGTTATATCAACGCCATGTGTATTTATTTTCCATGTGACAAATGAGAAATATATTTTTTGACAGAAATCTTTTAAATTTTTATTTTCTAATTTTATCCTTATTAATAAAATTGTTTTTTTTTAATTGTAAATCTTACCATTAAAATAATTCAAAAAAAAAGAATATAAAGATGATATAAGATGTTCTGTTTTTTATTGGGATTTGCGTATGGACTTGTAGCTCTCAAACAATGCCATTGTCGAATGTGGTATCTGAAGAACAAAATGGCAGCCTAAGTCATGTGCAGCTATTAATAGAGGAGCTCTCCGATGGTGAATTTCAACAATTGTCAGAATACATTCTAAAAAAACATCGGAAAAAAGATATAATTTCAGGAATACAACCAATGCTAGCCCAACATTTACTCGCATTGGTCGATCCAAAAACTTTATGCCTAATAAGAAGAGGTATTTATATTTATATATATATATATTCAAATTTGGTTGACTATTTCCAAGTATAATTTGTATAATTTTTCAATACTATTATATATACTTTGTTATACCAATCTTTGAAATTTTCCATTCTTTCATTATAAGTATTTTCATTTGGAGCTTGTTTATTATTATAATCTTATAATCTTAATTATAATCTTAATCTTAATATAATCTTAATATATCATATGTAGCTTAATTATTTTCTGTAGATTTTTTTTATAACTTACAACAACAAACAAAATTTTAATGTAAATTACTCAAAACTAAACTAAAAACGTTTTTTTTTTCGATACGATAAAATAAAATAAAATAAAATACGTAAAAAAAAGATTTTTTTTAAAAAACAAAGTATTCAATTTGATCGATTATAAATTAACAACGAAATTCTAAAGCGATTAAAATTCCATCTTCCGTTCCACAAATTAACCATTCGCGAGTCATTAAAAGGCATTTGATACCACAATCAACTTCAACAAGAGCGGCAGCTGGAGCAAAAAGGATTTTCTCATGATCATAAGATTGTGGGAAATTATCTGACATGGTATGATTGTTCTTATTACTTCTATTATTATTAGATGGTCCGACTAGGTATTGTTTTTGTGAATTATAAATACAATTTCTTTTTCGATTGTAAATATTTGTGTTTGATGATGATGACGATGAAGGGTTAGTATTATCATCATTACAGTTTTGCCATGATCGCACTTTAATAAATCCATCCGAAGAGACGGAAACAAGTCTAGATGAATTACATTGAAGATCCCATACTATGTCATTATGATCTTTTGCACTGCCAATTAATTGACCTGTATTAAGATCCCACATATGAATAGTAGAATCGGCAGAAGATGAAATAATTCTAATTGTTTCAATAACGATTGGATCATTAATATTTTTATTATCAACAACATTATTATCTATTAATGAATTTTCTATCGAGTCATGTGTATTTGATGATGATGATGCTCCTATTTCTTCTATTGAATTATCATTATCTATTTGAGGTTCGTTACCATTGCCATTTTCATTGCTATCAATAATATTATTAGTATCGTTATTGGTCAAGTTCAAATCATCGAGATCCATATAATCACCAGTTTCAGAAATATCGGTACCACCTGGTGATGCTGACTCGGATCTTATAAATTTTGATGTATTGATGTGAACTAAATCATTGTGATGGTTGTCTTCTAAATAAGAATTTTCTTGATCAAATGATTTGATTTGTTGTTCCAAAGTATCTTTATACCATGTTAAGCAAGTAATGGCCCTGGTATGACCTTCTAATCTTTTAATTATTCGAGGTTTCCTAATTGATATATTTTCGACCGATGACGAGGATTTTTGTTTTTGAGTATCATTGCCATTGTCAACATCATCATCATAGAGATCCCAAACTAGAATTGAATTGTCATTTGATCCAGAAACTAAATAATATTGAACGTTTTCTTCATTATGATCAATGATGTTATTTGAAGAAGAGGGAGAAGGATTTTTTGGAATCAGTGATAAAGCGCCTACTGTTCCACCAATTCCACCAAGCCTGTGTAAGCATTCACCGTTTTGTAAATTCCAAATGCGTATGATTTTATCTACTGAACCAGAAAATAATAAAGTTTCATCCGGCATCATAGTCAAAGAAATTATACCGGCCAGATGACCACGCAATCTATGTTTTATTGAATAATTATTATCAAGAGCGTATACAATTATTGTTTTATCCCAGCTACCAGATACTAATATTGATTTACCTAAAGCCAAACATTGAACAGCTTCAGAATGATGATCTAAAGTAGATAAAAGTTTTTTACTAGGTAGCTCCCAGATTTTAATCGATTTATCAAAAGATCCGGTATAAAACAAATCTTCAGAACCAGATATACACGTGATTCCTTCTTTGTGAGCTTGGAAAACGTTTTGTGTGAAATGAAAATTCTCCCAATTCTGTTCAACCAAAACATTATGTCTATAAAGCTGGAAATAGTAATCAGCGGATAAAGTGTTATGTTTAAAGGATTTAGGAATGTCTGAAAGAAAATCGGCGGATGTACAATGCTTCTTCCAAAGAACATTGTCGGTTGCGCGAATTTTCCAAGCTTTAGAAACTATTTTAGAGAAATTAATTTTTTAGAATTATGGGTCAACCAAATTTGAATATATATATATATAAATATAAATACCTCTTCTTATTAGG